GCACCTCCAGGGCAGGAGACCTCCCCTGCTGGCCTCCTGCCGGGCCTCTGTGCGCTGGGAGGCTTTCACCTTGTCCCACATGTCCTTCCAGCGCTCCGGCGCCTGGCCCAGCTCCGCCTCCAGGCTGTGCAGCTCCTGGGGGAGAGGCAGAGTTATTGTGGACAAGGGAGAGGGCAGACCAAGGAAACCAGGGGTGGCAAGCTCACGGGCTGCACACGCAGGGCAACGTGCGAGGGCCAGCAGCCGTGCACACAGCCGTGCGAGCGGCTCTGCACGAGGCCTGTGGGTGGATTTCTCAGCGGCAGGCCTGTAGGGTGCGGACGTCACGCAGCTCGGGGCACCCCAGCTCAGAAAAGGCCGATTAGTGTTGGAAAAGGTGCAGCAAAGGGCCACAAAACCGACAGGTTTGGAACGGCTGCCGTGGGAGGAGAGAAATGAGACGGGGACTTTTCTGGAAGAGACGACGAAGGGGGATGTGGCAGGACAAAAATCACCACTGGTATGGGACAAGTGAAGAGAGAAATGCTACTTAACCCTTCAGGTAAACCAGGATCTCCCACCAAAATCAATTGGTGACTGGTTTAAGACAAACCGGGAAGTTTTTCTTCACACAACCCACAGTCAACCTGTGGAACTCCTCGCCGATGGATGTTGTGAAGCCAAAACTATAACCGGGGTTCAGTAAAGAACTAGATCAGTGGCCAGGGACACAGGCCTTGGCCCTGGCGGTCCCTGAGGCTCTGACTGCCAGCAGTGGGGCCAGGATGCGGGGCTGTTCGCGTCACTGCCCTGCTCTGCTCGTTCCCTCAGAAAATGGGCCTCAGCCCGAGCCAGCTGGTGGCTAAGGTGTCCCTGGGGCGGTCCCCGCGCTGCGCTCACCTCCAGCAGCTTGGAGATGGCGTCGGGCTCCACGCGGCTGCGGTTGTCGTAGCAGGGCCAGATGATCTTGCGCTTGGTCTGCGGGGCGCTGGAGTCCTGCCGATCCGCCTCGTCCCCGTGCTCCGGCTGCTCCTGCACCAGCTCCCAGTCGTAGGAGGGGCCCTCGGACAGGGTCTCCTGGATGTAGTAGTCCCACACCTTCAGGTTGGAGATGTTGCTGTACGGCCTCAGCACCTGGGGAACAGGCCGGGGCGTCACACAGGGCCTGGGAGCCTCCTGCACTGCCCGGCCCCGGGGCAGTAGGGCAGGGGAACCAGCAGCAGGAGGGGGCTCCCGAGGGCCAGCCCCCC